ATGCACACCTGAATATAAGGTGTTTTTCACTTCCAGCCTTCATGAACAATAATACTGTATATAGGTTATAAGTGATTAAATACAAGATTAATAGCAGTTATTAGGGCCTTTTCATAGTACCAGAACTAATTGTGGAACTACCCACTTTTTGGCGTTTTCGCACCGCCGGAACTGGGTGCGATTTTAGTACTGGACTGCCTTTTTCGAGAACCAAATTAGCTCCTACTCCGGAGCAGGGTCTAACCAGCACAACTGGTACTAATCGTGATGTAAGTAGACATTGATTGGCCAAACGCGTATACAAACGCCCTCACCCGCCATGATTTAAAACGCTGTGTAAACAAAACATACTGTAAACATTGTGTCAACTTATTTTGCAAGTATGGAGAACAGCGATAGATGGACGGACACTGAAGTGCAGGCACTTATGGCATTTTGTAAGGCTGGGTTGTGTTGAGGAAGGCAGCCTTCGGCATTTAGAGAGCTCTGAAGGCTGGCATCAGGTGAGCAAGCTAGTGAAACGTTGCACACGTAAAAGAAAAGGACTGCACACATCCAACAACTTATTTTAAATGCAAAATTGATTTTAGTGCGCTCTAAATACTTTTTTCTTTGCGAAACGAACATTTTCTTCACAAAACTCAGATCGCGCACGTACAAAATGCACTTTTGTGCGCTCAGAATATGATCTTTCGTGCGCAGAATTGTGGCAGAGATCTAATCCTATAAATAAACGCCTGGTCCCAAACTCATATCTCCATGGTAACAGATGCCTGGAAGGACATGAGTAATATTCCGCAACATGATTCACATCAGGATCCATAGGTAATGCATATGGTCCGGGATTGTTCTTTCAAATCGTTGACATACTTTTGAGGTTTCCTCTAGCCTAGTGCAGCTCTCTAGCTTTTAATTTGTGGCTCAAGTGATGTCATAATTGTGGTAAGCACAACTGCAATCTCAGTTTCTTGCCATATTAATAACAAGCATGCCTGGGAGGTATGACTGGCACATTATTTAAAGGGGAAATCCCTTTTTCATTAGCAGAGTTTGTCACATGAAGTTCTGTGAAATGGTAGCAATATGTCAGTCAGTATGAATTTGTACCATTTATACTGTGGTTTTAATTTAATTATCTTAAAGATTTTATATTTTTCTATGCAAATTCTATGCCGGGTAGCACACTTAGGTTTCTGGAAGTTTTTGGCAACACGCCAAGCCATATTTGACTAAACTCGGTTTGTGGACACTTGTAGTTCTACATGCCTTGCTGTTTTGTGTGATGTTAGTCTCATAATTATAAAAATCCTCCCTTTAAATGTTTAATGCTTATCAGATCTGAAACTATGTTGCCTTTCAAATGTAACATCAGTTTGAAGATGAATGAGATTAGTAGTTGTGTATGTTATTACTATTTCATAAGTCATCACTCAGTTTAATTCAACTTTTTTTGTATAGCACTTTTCCCAATAAATATTGTTTCAAAGCAGCTTCACAAAAGTGCTTTGAATACAATCAGGACGTAATTGGTTAATTGGTCAGAAATGAGTGTCAGAGTATTATCCATGTGGGACTAGTATTCAGGTTATATGGCTAGTTATGTATTTAGTTAAGTTTACATAATGAATATATTAGGCAATGATTACAATAAAGATGTGCAATTAGAGCATGTGGAGAGTATATAGCATCAGATTGTTGCATCATTGAGCCATCTTTTGGAAGGACATGTGGTGTATTTGGCAGGGTGAGAGCTGCGATATAACAGTCAAGGACCCCTGGAATGTCAACTATTGTTCAGTGGTATTTCCTCTATCCTCATTAAGTTTACTGCCTCTGTTTAACACAATTACTATAGTTTACAGAAATGAGAACAAATCAGAACATTTTATGTAATCGGATGTGTGTCTGCATTGTTTTTTGATGTAATCACATGCATGGTGATTGCAGGAGAATTATAGTGGAAATGAGTGAAATGAGGCGAACAGATTGTAAATGATCAGATCAAAAGAATGTGTTTTGTTTATAGGAAAAACTGATGAAGTAAATACTCTCATTCCATTTTCTCAATTTTTTAAATTATACTGTTGACTGCGTTCATCAAGCATTCAACACTGCAATTCAACCCTTTTAACAAATGCATTGTAAATGATCAAATAAATATGTTTACTGTATTCTTTAATTTATGGGAAATAAACATTGCATAACTCCAAATCAACATTTGGTGCAAAAATAGTTAGACACTAACTTGATTTAGGCTAAATCTTCAATCCTCTTTTAACCCTATACCTGGCAGATCCCCCCCCCCAAATTATGTCATTTAAAATCCTCCAACCAAAGATTTCATTAATGTATATATTCATATATATATTTCGTTAAAATAACACAAGGTTTTAACATATTCCAGTCCAAATTTTGGCAAGTGTTGCAAAAATGGCAATAAAATATTAGAAAATGAACATTCTTTATAAAATAAAACCGCACATGTGATATGTATTATGCATTTTATATAATATGAATTACTTTTTTTTCTGGGGCGAAATCCAGTCATTTCAATAGGAATCCAAGCGATCAGGAATGTCACATCTGGGAAAAAGGTTTTTCACATCAGGGAAAAACAAGTTCAAGTTAGTCACACAGATTCTTCATGTTGACCAACAGAATTCTGCTTTGTGAAGAATTTCACATTTAGCTTTAAGAATTTCAAACCGCCTGCTTTCTACCCTTTACACTTCAAATACACTGTCATAAAAAGCCAGGTTTTTTTTTTTCTTTCCAGATTTTTGGTTAGTGGATGCTAAACATAGACCAAGAAAACTAAGAATAAATGCAACCGGAATTAAGTCCCTTATGAACTCTATAACTCTACTACGTCGCCTTTACATTTCAGCTTTTTGCCTCATGCAGTATTCATGTGTTATACAATAACTCCCTAATACAAGTATCATGAAACTTTTATCAGGTTGTTGTTTCCATGTTATTATGGTGTTAAGTTTATGGCTACATATGGGCATATGAATTGTTTCATTAAGCTGTATAAAAAGGAAATACACTTGTTATGTCTCATAAATGTGTCATGAAGTTTTAATGAAGATAAATCATTACTCTAAGTTTATCTGGGTAATAAGTAAAGTTTCTGAAGCAGTACTTTATTCTAATCCACATAATTCTCTGATCTTTTGAATAAGGTCAAACCTCATTAACTTCCTCTCCCATGGGGTTTTCTGGAAAGCCTGCGTTATGTAACATAACACAAGATTGACTAATTTGGGCACAAGCTGTCAGAATGCAAAAACCTCCTTTGCTTAGAGATATTTTCCCTAGCACAGTGACAGAGATGATGGAAACTGACATTTGCATAGTGTCTTATTGCAAAGCAAACAAAATGAAGCAGTCGACATCACCAAAACTCACATTTTGCAAACTCAAGCCTCTAAAGCATTTTCTGTAATAATTTACAAAATCAGAAAAAAAACAACACGGCAGATTATTGTTGACTGTAATATCCTTCTGAAAAAATCTAAAAGGCATCATTGTCTTTAGCAGTGGTTCCCAACCCTGTTCCTGGAGGCACCACAACACTGCACATTTTGCATGTCTCCTTTCTCTGACACACCAATTTCAGGTCTTGGAGTCTCTACTAATGAGCCGATGACCTGAATCAGGTGTGTTTGATTAAGGAGACATGCAAAACGTGCAGTGTTGGGGTGCCTCCAGGACCAGGGTTGGGAACCACTGGTCTATAGTATCAATGATTTAAGGGGTGTATCAGTTAATTTGTTTATTCAGCTCATTGTCTAAAAATACTGCCGACTGAACTGAATTGATCTTGATATGACTTTTTAATTGTGAATAGTTTATGTTGGATAAATCCAAATGATTGTTTTTGTTTTTGGTTTTGATTAAATGACTGCGTTGGTAGTCACCACATTTTTAGACACATTTTCAGTGAGACTCATAGCCTCCTTTCCATTATTAAATATGATATCTACTCTGACTAAGATCCATTGAGATAGATTGCCAAGATAACAATAAGTGCTAATACTTTACAGTCTGATATACAATCTGTTCAATGTTTTATTGAATTGGTAATTGCTTTTATATCTAATTGAAAATCACTCTCGATCTGTGCTCAGTTACTCCACCCAAAATAGAATCTCATCAAAATAAATTTAAATATCAAATATGTTCTGATTTGATTTTAGTGTTTGCTTAGAAACTGAGAAAATAATTGTAAATTTGAAATAACCCAAAATGTTTCTTACCAATCCTATGGATAGTTTTGGTCTTCTCTATGTTGTCACAACAGATGAAGTTTTTCAAAAGCAACTTAATGAAGTAGTTTTGACAGCCTAGGAAGACTGTTGTCAAACAATCTCGATCTGTGCTCAGTTACTCCGCCCAAAATAGAATCTCATCAAAATAAATTTAAATATCAAATATGTTCTGATTTGATTTTAGTGTTTGCTTAGAAACTGAGAAAATAATTGTAAATTTGAAATAACCCAAAATGTTTCTTACCAATCCTATGGATAGTTTTGGTCTTCTCTATGTTGTCACAGCAGATGAAGTTTTTCAAAAGCAACTTAATGAAGTAGTTTTGACAGCCTAGGAAGACTGTTGTCAAACAAAAACTCACTTTTAATGCTCTGCCCGCCTCTCATTCCGCAGCCAATCGACCGAAGAGTTTGCTAGTGTACATCAACCCCTACGGAGGAAAACAACATGGGAAGCAGATTTACGACCACAAAGTGGCCCCCATCTTTTCCCGGGCTTCCATTTCCACCGACGTGATTGGTGAGTGCCCGTCAGCCGCATGCATTAACATTTAAATAAAAAATGAGCTTTTATGCTTCGCAAATAGATCTCCGTTGGCAAATGGCCCCACCTGCCAACCCGTCCCACGAATATGATTTTATTTACAGCGCCATCTATCACAGGAGCTGGCCATAATGCAAGCTGTGATAGTCGATAAACATAGGAATGCAAAGACATCCATTATTTATTAAGTTTGAGGGAGGAAGACCCTGGGTTGGTGGGAATATCGGCTGTTGGAGCTAAAGCTTACAGGCTTACTCAGCAGTTGCTTGAGGGTATTCATTTTTACGACCATGTGGACATTTCGTAAATGGTAAAGTACATGTCTGGCTGGACAAATACCATTCAAACCAAATCATTAGAGGAGCCAAACAAGATGTTCTGCCGACGGTTTAATAAGCTCCATACATCACCTTTGGCATATATCATCAACGTGATCCACAGGGCTCGGTCCTGGGCCCCATTCATTTTCAGCACATCCCTCCGAGTTACAGCTTTACATCAGTGCTGATGGTAAAGAACCGGTAATGAAATGTACCGGGGATTGTTTTTCACCGCGACTTCAGCTTCATCATTTGATGTGGCTGATTGATGGTCTCCATCAAGCCAGCAGAAAAATGCAATTTAACTGCCAGATGAACATAATGATGTTTCTCCCCCTCTGCCCAGCCTCGCTGTCATTGTCCCGTTAACAATGGCTTTTTCTCTGTTGTTTCTATAGTTACAGAGCGTGCAAATCATGCCAGGGACCACTTGAAGACAGAGGCTGATCTGAAGAAGTATGATGGGTGAGTGGGCATCCTGCTGGGAGATCACGGTCGCTGTGTGGCGACTCTTAATTTGCCCACCGAGGAATGCGTCCTCTGCAGCACAGCTCAGATTAACATTTGCACATCAATGCACATCAGGTGTCACTGCGGCAGATGACGGCGGGCAGCTTGGGAAATGACAACTGAAAATAGAGTGGCTTTTGGTGACAGCAACATGGATGCTGCTTTAAAGCTGGGCCAGAGGCTGTATTCACAAAACAACTCTGACTGTTGCATCTGGATCTTTTTTCTCTACTTTTTAACATCCATTTCTGTGAACGACAGTTTAGACACAAATTTCATTCATTTGCGCTCTACCTTTCACTGAAGAAAATTTTGTTTTAAACAAATATGCATTGAAGTGATCAGTGTAGTCTCTCTCTGCAGTGTGGTGTGTGTCGGAGGTGATGGCATGTTCAGCGAGATCATGCATGGCCTCGTCTCCCATACGCAGCAAGAAGCAGGTGTGGATGAGAACTCTATGGAGGAGACCCTTATGCCGTGTGGACTTCGCATCGGCATAATTCCTGCAGGTTGGTTTATAGCAGTGTTTCCCAATCCTGGTACTGGAGCATGTACCCAACACATTTTGTACATGTCCCTTCACACATCCAGTTCAGTTCATGAGCACTCTATTAACAAGCTGATGAGCTGAATCGGGTGCATTAGATAAAAGAGGCATCCAAAACGTGCAGTGTTGGGGATGCTCCAGGACTGAGAATCACTTGTCTACAGTCACAAATATTAGAGTCTATACAGCCAAGACAGTTCCTCAGAATGGATTTCATTGCTTTCTCATGCACGTCACTTCCTTGGCAGTGTTCCTGGAAGCATCCGTCACTCACGGTTCCATTACAGCATTTGTGTTTTGAGATATTTCCAAGTCATTGGAAGTTTTACACCTGCACATGGGCACAGCTGCATAATAGAGGAGAACTGCAGGAGATTATAGCTCTCTTCCAAAACCTAGTGAGCTGCCTGGAAAACATGTTTAGGCATCAGAGGTGCACTCATGATATAAAGGCTGTTCAAAAAATGGAAAGCAACATTATGTTGCCTTTGATGATACTGTGTTTTGATCAAATTTTAGTGGGCTATTCACACAGAACATGTTTGTGTCTGTGTGTGCACTATTATTTTTAAATAGTGGGTCTCTGTAAAGTTGCTTGTTGAATATCGCTGGCTGTTATAAAGCATCTTGTATTTTTTTCCAGCATCTCAGTGCTATATGTATTTTTTTTGTTTAGCTTTTTTAAGTTTTAATACATTCTGATTGTCAGCACTACATGTGTCATTTGTGGATAATCTGCAATTAACACTGTTACCAAAAAAAAATATTAAGCAGCACAACTGTTTTCAACGTTGATAATAATAAGAATTGTTTCTTGAGTACCAAATCAGCATATTAGGAATGATATTTGACACTAATAACTGGAGTAACGACTACTAAAAATTCAGCTTTGCCTTCACAGGAATAAATACAACTTTAAAATATATTTAGAATTGGAAACATGCATTTTATATTTTAATAGTATTTTACAACATTGCTGTAAATAAATTTTAAAAACGCAGCCTTGTTTAGAGACTTCTTTCAAAAACATAAAAAAATATTATTGACCTAGAACTTTGGATGGTAGTGTATAATCTCTCTCTCTCACACATAAAGCTTCAAAATATACAACATACTGCACTTTTTAAATAGTTTAAAGCCAGAGAATGGGAAAGAAAAATACTTGGGCAAAACACGTTATTAATAAATGACCAACCTGAAAGAGCACAAGCAGAACAAATAGACTGTTGTCATGCACTGCAGAATGCCCTTCACAAGAGCTCTGCCAGCAATTGATAACTTAATGACTGTGGCTTATCAAATCCTGTTTTCTGATATTACTGTTTGCCATATAAACCAGACAATGTCGAAACCTTAAGAGTCCATGTTGTTATCAGTCAAGTTATCAGCGTGTGTAATTCTGTCTATTCATGGCCTTATCTCACATTGTCCAGACATGCAAGGACTAGAGACAGTTTCTATGAACAGCTCCTGGTCCATTATCTTGTTCCTGGATGACAACTGATCTGAGCAGCAAGGGAATTTGAGACAAATCTTTGACTTCAATGTCTAATAGATGAAAGCATCTGAAACCACTGACAAAAACGAACCATGCTTTTAACATTATAATATCATGTTTATTTGAAAACGTACCATGTTCAAATGTAATAATACCGTTTTGGATTAAATGTTTTAGATGCTGACTTCAAGTTTAATACACAAAAGCATCTGAAACCGCTGACAAAACCAAAAAAGTTCTATGCTATTACCATGCTATATTTAAAATAATGATGATGATAGTAATAATAATAGTAATAATTTTTGGAATGTATAGCATACTGATACCATGGTTTTTTGGACATGTGCCTTTGCCATGTTTTTGGACACGTGTTTTGATAATACTATGTTTTTTTAATCTATACCATATTAATATAACAGGTTATTTAAATTATTTAGTATCATTTTACAATGTTTTATTAAATGATTACATGGATCATTTGTTCCTTTTATTTATTTAATTACAATTTCATGAGATTTTAATTAGTGCTGTCAAACGATTAATCGCGATTAATCGCATCCAAAATAAACGTTTTTGTTTACATAATATAAGTGTGTGTGTACTGTGTACATTGATTATGTATATATTAATACACACACATACAGTATATATATTGAAAATATTTACATGTATATATTTATATTCATATAATTTATATGATCAATAAATATATTTAAAATATAAACAACATATTTCTCTTAAATATATACATGCATGTGTGTGTATTTATATATACATAATAAATATACACAGCACACACACATATATTATGTAAACAAAAATGTTTGTTTTGGATGCGATTAATCGTTTGACGGCACTAATTTTTATATTAATATTTTTTTGAATATGTAACATTACAATGCCTTTTTTATTTGTTATGATTTATGTTCTTTTTATTATTATTTCATTTAATACATATAATTCCATGGACATTTTTATCTGATGTACTTGTAATTAAATTTAAAATTAAAGAATTAATTTATTTACGTAATAGTTCAATGATCTTCATTAAAGGGGCCCTATGATGCCCTTTTTTACAAGATGCATTATCTTGTAATATCTCGGGTGTCCCCCACTACCCCACTAATCATTTATTTTTCCATGCTGTAAATGGCCCTTATGTAAATGCCTGGTATATGGATATGGTAATTATTACCATGCTATCTAACACTATCAGTGTATCATGGTACTGCCGCAGTAAGGAACTGACATTTAAGCATCATGCTGTTTATTGCTCTTTAAATGGTATTATCATGATATATAAATTGAAAAACATTGTATTTTACTTTTTCCACCTTAGTTTGTGGAAACAATAATGGGATCGTGAAATAATCAGTTTGGCACATTTGCAGATTGCAGTTTGTGTGTTTTTGCTATTATATAAGCAATTTGAGGAAGAGGAATTAGATTACCAGACAGCATATAAGAGACAGAAAGAGGGCCGAACTCATCTGAAATCTCATCTCTCTATATAACAGTGCCCTGCAATGCTTCAGCTACAATCATTTCAAGATCGAAAAAACTTTCTTATTCTCACAAGGGCTGAATAGAGCAAAAACTCCATTGGCTTGTGATGTTTGGTTAGCGTTCACAATTGAAGGTTAGATTGCAGCTGCCCCCGTATGCCACCAAAATTGAAAATGAAAGTGTAATTTTCATACGTTAACCTTCGGAGTGAATTATGAGAGATAGATTTAGGCCATTTCTGAACCCCTGACCCATGAAATGTGTTTTTGAAACAGGTTCGACTGACTGTATATGCTACGCCACGGTTGGCTCAAATGACCCTGTCACTTCAGCACTGCACATCATTGTGGGTAAGTACTCATCTCCATATCTGCAGTATGATAAAGCGTATCTGGCTATGTATGTGCGTATGTTTATTTATGCTTATGTAAATTTCTCTTTAGTATTTTCAGGCTAGGACTGAGTGCTATCCCAGTATATTTAGTTATTTATTTATTTATTACTACTTTTCTTTGGATGTCATGGCATGACCATACCTTAACCAGGGTAAAATCACTGTAACTTACAGCTTTGAGTGGCATATTGCATAAATAAAGCATAACACCAAAATGGAAAATGTTTACTGTGCTACTTTTGCAGAGACGGATATCTAATTTTGCTGCAATATGCACTATTCTTAAGGCCCGTTCACACCAAGGACGATAACTATAAAGATAACGATAAAGATATAGTTCTTAAAATCGTTCTCAATATTAAAGAATAGCAGAGTCCACACCACAACTATAACGATAAAGACAAAGAGAAACGATATCGTTGGAATCACTTTCAAAACGATTTTTCTCCAGCTGATGAACGATAAAAAATTGGCAGCCAATCAGAATCCATCCTGCTGTAACGAGCTCGAGAATTTAAAGCGGCAGACGAGCGTGCACTGAGAATAAACAGACGATATCGTCCACTGGTGTGGACACTAATATCATTATCTTTATAGTTATCGTTCTTGGTGTGAACGGGGCTTTATATGTGGTGTCCTAGCACAGGATTCTGATGTTATCAGCTTGTGTTTTCTGAAATCCATCCTGGTTTTTTCTGCAGGTGATTCTCAGCCAATGGACGTCTGCTCGGTGCACAATGAAGACCGCTTCCTGCGCTACTCTGTGTCTCTGCTGGGTTACGGGTTCTACGGAGATGTGCTGACAGACAGCGAGAGGAAGCGCTGGATGGGCCCGGCCCGTTACGATATCTCAGGTACACAGGAATCTGCCATTTTGAATGGAAATTCTTATTTTATTTTTGAATTATTTTATTCATTTATTTATTTATTTTTACAGGTGTTAAAACTTTTCTGTCACATCGCTACTATGAGGGAACTGTGTCCTTCTTACCTGCTGAAGGGAACTTGGGAACTCCCAGAGACAAAATGCAGTGCCGAACTGGGTAAATGCTGTTCTGTATTTTTTGTATTAGGGATGCACCGAATGTTCAGCAACTGAAATTATTTGGCCGAAAATAGCAAAAAAATCTAGTTTCCTAACTTATTAATTTTAAGTTCAATTGTGCTTTGTTGGTGTAGTGTCTTCTAGAATGTTAAAAAAATATTCAGGTGTTAAGTAAATCTTTTTAAATAGTTGTTTTGTAATTGATTTTTTCTTTGAAAAGCTAGACAAAACAGTAAAAAGCACATTTTGGCTATTTAATTTATGCAGTTGCAAAAAAATTGGCAAAATATATGGGGGGAAAAAATGCAAAAAACCTTATTCGGCCTTCGGCCCAGTGTTTCGTTTTGTTCGGCTTCGGCCAAGAATTTTCATTTCGGTGCATCCCTATTTTGTATAGTCAAAATAATATGAATCTTGACTGAAACATGACTGAACGCGTATACTTAATCATTTAATCCATCATCTGATGTGTTTTAATTCTATTGTAAACTAGAACTAGATGATATTTACACTACATTTTGAAGTCAGTAGGATTTTTTACTGTTTTTGAAGGAAGTCTCATGCTCACCCAGGCAAAATGTATTTAAACAAAAATACAATAAAATCTGTAATATTGTGAAATATTATTACAATCTAAAATAGCTGTTTTCTATTTTAATATATTTTAAAATGTAATTTAATCCTGTGATGGCAAAGTGGAATTTTCAGCAGATATTACTCCAGTCTTCAGTGTCACATGATCCTTGAGAAATCATTGTAATATGCTGATTTGCTGCTCAAGAAATATTTAATATTATAATTTATTATTATCATCAAAAAATTTGAAAACAGTTGTTCTGCTTAATATTTTTGTGGAAACCATAATATATGATTATTATCAATGTTGAAAACAGTTGTGCTGCTACATAAATTTGTGGAAACTGTGATCGCCCGCCCGCCCGACCGATATTCTTTGATGAATAGAAAGTTAAAAAAAGCTGCATTTTTTTTTTATAGAAATTTTTGTAGCATTATAAAAATCTTTACTGTCACTTTTAATACATTTAATGCATCGTTGCTGAATAAAAGTATTATTTTCTATAAAAAAACCTTACTGACCCCAAACCTATTCACAATATATTCAAGACGTAAGTACATATAAATTGCAATGTAAATATTTTAATAAAAGGAATAGATATAATGGTCCCATTTTTAAAGCATGCCTTGATTATTTTTAAACTAGATTTTTACTTATTTGTGTTAAACAGATATATAGCTATGTTTCTCACCTCTATTGTTAACGTGTTTCTGTCTTGCAGGTGTAGTGTCTGTCGGCAATCCTCTTCTGACAAACTGGTCAGCAAAAATGAAGACAGAGTTTCTGATGCTGGTGAGGAGCATTTGGGAATACTCTCTATGCCAGTGTTAAACTGAGCTCGGGCATTGACAGGAAGTCTCATATCTGCCCTGTGGTAAATGCGCCCAACCTCAGTACAGGCCAACAAAGTGCATTTCCAGCCATGATTTGTAATGCCCCCATCTGTCGGCTCTACTGGCACGCTGTTTGTGAACATTAGGCCAAATGGTTCAAGCTGCCGCCGGGCTGATCATTTAGAGAGTGCACACACACACACACAGCATATTATCTCTGCCTCTCAGCAACCTCAGAACAACTGGCACCTCCGTTACCCAGCATTCTGTGTGTTTACCCTGAGCACTGATAAGTGCTGTTTACAGAGACACACTCTCTGCCCTCACAATCCCAAATTGGCATTTGTGCATGATGATTTCCTGAACGCTTTTAGACCGCGTGACATAAATAGAGTCTTGTGGGAAGAATAAGGGGAAGAATGATGTAAACGGGAAAGGGAGTCGAGGGCCCTTCATCAGTGAGAGAGCACCACAGCTATACTTGCTTTGAGATATACAATCACCTGGCTTCTTTCATTTTTCCAGTTTATAGCAACACTGATTTTCGAAGTTGTAAATAAAATAAATCTTGTAAGGTCTACAAGGAAGTACTATTTCAGTATTTATTATTTCATTTCAAAATTGTATGTTTACTCAATGCAGGGTTTCCGCGGGTCTTAAAAAAGTCTTCAATTGTACAAGAAAGTCTTAATTATGATTTCAAGAGGTCTTAAATTTGGGGACGGAAAGACCAGAATTGCGACATGGCTGAATGTGACTATTAAACTTCAAAAGGCTAACGTTATGATTTCATGAAATAAACATGAGTGCTGCGGGTTCAAATTCCGGTGCTGTGCTGCTTTGTGTTTTGCCGTTACCGGGGAAACAGTTATATTTCTACCAAACGCTCCACCTGCTGGTAGAGAATGAATGAGCATTTTCAATAAAACTGTTGTTTTGTTCAGAGTTCAGACCAATGCGAAAATCGACCCATGTTTTTACCCTGCAAACACGCTTTAAATGTGAACTGGTGGATCGATAAGAAGACAATGCATTATAAAAATCGAATAGGGGTGCATGGTCTGCGATAATATCGTAATTGTTGTTTTAAAGATGTACGATTTGATATTGTCTAGTATATCACGAAAAGCAATTCGAGATAATGTATCAGCACAATAACACACTCAGCAACATATTGTCTAATTATCGTTATCGAAAAGATCCCGGAAAATTATCGAGATATCATTTTTTGTTAATATTGCACACCCCTAATTTATGTTATTTCATTGATATAATAATTTATTGATAATAACAATTTAAATTAATATAACAATTAATACTTTTGACTCATCTGTTTTCTTAAAAATGGTTTAAAGGCTGAAATGTAAAGTTTATCATTTTATAAAACTTTTTGTGAAAACTTGTATCTGAACTGTAAGTTATGCTTTTTACAGTAATTTTACAGTTTAATATGGTACTATAGACATTGCCTAACCCGCTCATATGGTATTCATTTTATTTGTGCAGGTCTTAAATTTGAGCTTAAAAATCCTGCAGAAACCCTGTCAATGTTACTTTCCCTTTCTGTGTAATTATTTGTGAAATTTTACTACAAGAAACTACTCTTTTAGTATTTCTTCTTTCACTTCAAAATGTTGTTTAACTCAATGTTGCTCATCCTTTCTATGTAATTATTTGGGAATTTACTGAGTGAAAATAATTTCAAAGTATAACTTTTTCAGTGAAAATTGTTTGCATTTTTGGAATTCAGTGCAAAACTGATTTATAATTTTAAGTCAAGTCATTTATTTGTATAGCACTTTATACAATGCAGATTGTTTCAAAGCAGCGTTACATGAATAAACAGGGAAATAATGGTTCAGTGATCAATTCTGCTGTAAAGGAGCTGTAAAAAAACAATAGTGTCACTTTTCAGCTAAGGTCAGTCTAGTGGTGATTCAGTTCCCTTCAAGAACATCAATTATGAACTGAGTTCAATTCAGCTGTAAAGCAGCTCTGTAGAAAACAGTAATGTCAGCATTCTGTTCAGTTATCATCCAATCGTGTCTGTTGATTCAATAATATTGCTGGATATTAGGTGCCCCCAACTAACCAAACCAGAGGCGACAGTGACAAAAAACCCGAACTCCATCGGTGACAGAAATGGAGAAAAAAAACCGGTAACCCTTTATTTTGATAGTCCGCTTTAGACATTCTACTAACATTAAGTTACTTTGCAACTACATGTCAACTAGCAGTCATTAGAGTATTAGTAGACTGTCTGCTTAATATCTTCTAAAACTTTATTTTGATGGGTCCACAACATACAACATACTGACTATGAGAAACTTTGCAAGTATATGTCAACTTATTCTACTAACTCTAAACCTAACCTAATGGTCTACTCTGAGAGTTAGTAGACATGTAGTTGCAAAGTTACTTAGTTAGTAGAATGTCAAAATTGGACAATCAAAATAAAGTGTAACCAAAAAACCTTTGGAAGAAACCAGGTTCTGAGATGTTTAGGGTGTTCTTGGTGGTTGCCTATTGGAAACGCATGTATCAAAGTCTGTGATAGGGTCTATAGACTTCACTGCTCAGAGGTATACTAGTATTCACATGATGTTGTTGTATTTCAGAGTGTCAGGATACGTGGACGGTCATCAGGGGAAAGTTCTTGGCCATCAATGCTGCCAGCATGAGTTGTGCGTGTCCTCGCAGTCCTAAAGGCCTGTCGCCATCAGCGCACTTAGCAGATGGAACTACTGACCTCATCCTCGTCAGGAAGTGCTCCCGACTCGACTTCCTGCGCCACCTGCTGCGCCACACCAATAAGGACGACCAGGTTCCTGATTTATCTCAACAGAAAACATCAGTAGATTTAACATGATATTTTTTTATGAAAGCCATGAAGCAATTCCATTCATGTTTCATCAAAGGCTGGGGAAAAAACGCCACTTTCTTAACTGGCACACTTCAAAAAAGTATCCCCGCTGTCCAGTGTCCACCAAATGCTTACTCTATATTTTATATTAGTATAAATTCATATGTATATTTAATTAACTGTAAGTTTTGGGGGTTTTTTTCTTGGAAAAAGAGCTAATAATTATGTTCTTTGAAGTTCTTAGTAACAGCATGGTTCCTACAGTCATTGAGAACCTTGAAAGTCATGGCAATTTCCCTTTTTTTTTTAAATGCTTAATAGGCTTGCTGCGCTAGACGTGTTTTCGGTTATACCGGTGTTAAGCCGCAACACCGGTTACGTCATTTGCCTACCGCGGCACCGCCCCCCACCATCGTTTTGATTTTTTTATAGTAACAAAAATAATTTAGCCTAGTTCAGTTAGAGGACAGACACTTTTAAAAACTAAACGCTCAATGCAGCGTGCCTAACCGTGCGCGAACGACAGTGCACCACGGAGCAGGGGTCAGATTTTATTTATCACGTGAGGAGAGTGAGTCGAGCTGACTGACAAGAGTGAGATGAGAAAGACAAAAGACGATGGCAGAAGATTGTTTAGAAAGGAAATGCAAAGGTGCCTGTTTGGCAGTATTTTAGATTTTGAAAAGCCTATTGACTGGAAGTTTTTTGTAAACATTCGTTTCTTATTTATTTGGTTCCACAGTGTTTGCTGATTTTCAGTTTTATATACCTATTTAAACTTTGTGTAGCCGAAGTAATTTGTTATTTTATTAGGCATATATGATGTATTTTTATTCGTTTTGTTAATAAAAGTTCTATGAGTTTGACGTTGTTGTTGCCCAATTGCTGCTAATTTGAAAGTGAAAGTAAAATGCGCACGGCGCTTTTTCAAGCTATTTGAAAGCCAAGAAATCTGAGGAAAAGAGGAAAAACTCAAACGAACAATTGCTTTACGGCGAATTGAGGCAATTCAATTGCCAGTAATTTGAAAGGGAAAGTAAAATGTGCACGGCACTTTTACAAGCCATTTGAAAGAGAAGAAAAGAGGGAAACTCAAACGAACTAACAACCCCCCCCCCCGGTGATACCTGTATTACCGGGGTTGTCACACGTCGATTAACCTGTGGGAAAATTTCCTCACCATCACAACCCTAGAGGAGATCTGCACTGTATCTTGTGCGCCTGTCAGTTGTGTTCGATGTACGATGAGGTTGAACAACCCCATAAGTGAAGCTTGTTTTTTTGGAAGCTTGATCGTTTTGCCGCAGGGGGTTGATGAATGAGAGCAGGACAGTGGCTCGATTAACCGGTGGGAAAATTTCCTCACCGTCACAACCCTAATGCTTAACTCCTGAACTATTTAAACAACTAGAAATGGCTCTTTGTAAGTTCAATCGTCACCAAAACGATCTTTATCCAGTAATCACAAATATTTGAAAATTCATTAGCACTGGAATCTTGTAACAGTTCGTAATTCAAATGCCTCTAATAAAATTATCCAGCCAGGTTTATTTCTCATCAAAATATAGTTCTTGACCTATTTACTTTTGTAAATTCAGATCCCAAATTTACTATGGCATTATGAATCTAAAAATGTATCCTCAAAATGTTTATTTTTTTTATGAAAAATGCAGTAAGAAGAGTAATATTGTGAATTATTATTACATTTATAATAACTATTTTCAGTTGTAATATAATTTAGTAATATATTCTAGTAATGACAAAGCTGAATTTTCAGGTGTCTTTATGTCACATGATCCTTCAGAAATCATTCTAATATGCTGATTTTGTGCTTAAGAAACATTCATTTATTATTCATTATTATTTTATTCAGTTGAAAATGGTTGTGCTGCTTGTTGTGGAAACCGTGCTACTGTTTCTTTCCAGATTATTTGATGAATAGAATGTTAAAAAGAACAATATTTATTTCAAATAGAACTGTTTTGTAACTTGCTAAATAAAAGTATTAATTTATTTTAAAAAAAAAAAAGTACACTAAACGTTTAAAGGTGGGGTAAGTGATTTCTTGTAGCCAATGTTGATATTTCAAATCACCAAAACAAACACGCCCCTACCCCAAAATTGTCTCGCCTCTATTTTGATAGCTCCGCCCCACACATATGTACGCAACCCAGGCAACGATTATGGCGGAATCTGCTGTGCCAGCCGGCCGAGGGAATGATGTCATCAATAAGTGAAAACAATGTGTGTTACTATGGTAATACAGGTCGAATGTGTTTTGGTAGTACTGTGTGTTTTATCATGCATATATGTGTTTTAACAGCATATATTAGTTCTGTGAAACAAAGCAAAACCAATGTTACTCACCTATCGAGAAGAAAAAAAGCTACCTCGGCATCCGATCGCAGGCCTTCCTGCTTCTTGAGTTCTCTCCAGCGCTTGAAAGCTGATCCGATATTTACACGGGTCCTACTTCTTGCCTTATCGTAAGCCTTCTTTTGTTCTACAGACGTTTTCCTCTTTTGTTTTTTATCCGCCATCTCTATCTTTCTGTCGCTCGGCTCGGCTAATGTCCATCCTGTGCAGTGCTCTCTCGTCCTCATCATGAGTAGACACGCCCCTTACTGCTGATTGGCTACAAGTTTGTTTTGGTGCTCGGCCCGACTCTAAAGTGATTCTAAAGCGTTTTTGAAAAAATACATACCCCACCTTTAATGATATTTGACGTGGGATTCAGTAAGCATTACCCTTGTTCTCTTTCTTTGTTCAGTTTGATCACTCTTTTGTGGAGGTGTACCGGGTCAAGCAGTTCCGATTCACCCCCAGATATCAGGAGTGTGATTCTGAAGTGGACCCGAGGGAAAGCGGAGCTACAGGCAAGCGATTCCTTAGTCAGATCTGCAGGGAGCACAGAGCCTGTGGCTGCATGCCTTCCCAGAGCAACTGGAACTGTGATGGAGAGATCCTCCCACACACTGCCATTCAAGTCTGGTAGGTGTCCTTATCCAGATACGCCCTCTGTGTTTGCCATTTCGGTTTTTATGAATTCATGTATTGGACTCGGTGGAAGTGAACCCTTTGCAAGTTGCAGAAATGCTATATCTAGATACTTCACTTGAGTGATAACGCCCACTCTACAAGTGATAAAAAATGATGAATTTAAAAGATGCATGTAGTGAAAATGAGAACTGTTATTCTGTGTCATGTTTCAGAAAGGAAAATTGGGCCATTATGGTTTTAATACACTAATTACTTCAAGCAAGTCCTCGTTTTTGTAGTTAAGGGCATCACCGCCACTCACACTCAGACTTCCTCATATATCTAAGAGATGTCACTGTCAATTTTAGACCTTATATGAATAGTTTTCAGCTTCAGAAAATGTTCCTCTGACACAAAATGAGCAGGCTTCACTAAAGCGTTTGTCAATTAGTTGAAGCTGTAGTTGAAATGTTGAGGTCTTTTGAGCACAAGATTGTATCATCTCAGCACTAGCATACTAAACAGGGTAAATAAATGGACTTTTGTGGCCTGAGCCTGTGGAAAAGATGCTATTAAAATTAAAAACTCCCTCCATTGTGCCTGCAGAGGAGTTGTTCTCCTCCTTGATACAGCATGACGGCTCGCACAAATGCATCATTTCCTTCATGCCCCATTGTTCTGTGTCAACAATGCGTAGCAATGAAATGCTCCTAATTTAATGGCCCTCTCACTGTTAAAGGCTCACCTCCTTTAATTAAAATAGAAGTCCATTCATTTATTCCATTTTCAGCTTCAGTAATTGTTTCTCGAATGAGTAAGCAAATAACCTGTTGAGATAATTGATGATGATACCACGGCCGAAAGAGGCAATCGCCTGGCACTGAACTCACCTCCAGAGTATTGAGTGGAATTAGAGGAAATTAAAGAGCCCTCGAACCTCCTAAGAGTGCATGCATTTAACTACAAAACTTTTTACTCAACACGACATAGCATTTATTGCTTACCAGCACTTGCTCGTACTTTGTTTTAGTCTAGGACACAACGCATTAGTGGTGTTTGCTAAGGCAAGCATCAGTGTTACTATTGCAAATCGTTTGGGTTGGGGATTTAAACAAACCACTATACTTAAATATTACACTTATATTCATATAAGGGGTCATAAGATTCTATTTCAAGTTTTCCTTTGTCTTTGGAGTGTTACAAGCTGTTTGTGCATATAAGATCCGTAAAGTTGCAAAGACTAAAGTCTCAAACCCAAAGAAAATATTCTTTATAAAAGTTAAGACTCGTCCATGCCTTCCTAAAATGCCTCATTCAAACACGCCCCCACATATCTATGTCACTGTGCTGGAAGATTTGCATAACACCACCCAAATGTTTACGCAAAGAAAGAAGGCATAAGTATTATTCTCGCTGTAGTATTGTTGCTGCCGCCGCCATGTCATAGAGACGCTGTGTGTTTCCAAATATGGTAAGGGACGTAACATTTCAGTCATTCGCTTGAGGTATTTGGCCAATCACAATGCACTGAATAGCTGGCCAATCAGAGCACACGGCGCTTTTCAGAATGCTGAGCTTTGTAAAAAATCGACGCGTTTCAGAAAGGCGAAGCATTCAGAAAGTGTTTTTTTAACCTTAAACCGCATAAACACTTTGCATTACACCAACTCGTTGCCATTGATGTCCATAGTGTGGAAAAAAAATACAATAAAAGTCAATTACTCAACTATTCCTTAAAAAAATTAGCATGAAGTAATATACGTCACAGACACTGAAGCCTACATTAAATCAAATTTACACATGATCAGTACATATTATCCAAATGGATAAATCCCATAAAACATACCTCTTGACCAATTCTAATGTATCATGTCCCAATCTTACCACAGTTGGTTTTGTTTTCCTGACATTTCATGCATGGAAATGTAGCATTAGAGATCTAGACACTGACAGCTACACAGTGTCACTGCAGGGTCAGTGTATGTATGGCTGTTCATCAGACGGAATGTAAATGTAAATACTGTAGCGCTCTTTGCATTGTCTTCCTTGGAACCCCCGAGAATATTTCCACCCTTTATAATGAATTTTGTGTTTGTGTTTCCTATGCTGATGTCTTATTTCTTATGAAAGCTCTTATTGTTCGTGCGGTATCGAAGAATGAAGTTTATGCTAGACAGAGAAATTGCTTTTCCCTGTTGTGCATGTCAGCTGCTTTAATATGCAATTTTTAAAGTGTTTCCTTGAGCTGTACTTGTGATTGAGGGTATGGATTTCCCATGATGCATCTGTAAAGGCAACACAACTTCGGTAGCTATTACATTGTTCACGTCCTTCATAGACTGAAAGATTGTAGGGAAGCTCATTTTTGCCACATAAGAAAAAAACTGTTTTGGTAAATCATAATTATGACATTAAGTCATAATTGGGTCATATTTAAGTCATCATTGAAAACTGAAATAAAAATATTTGTAAAAATAAGAATTATTTTTAATCATAATTAAAAATGACTAAAAATAAAAACGGCCATAATAAATAAAAGTCATAATTATAATATTAAAAGGTCATAACTGAAAACTGAAATTAAAAATTAATTAAAGCTAAATAGAAATACAAGAAAATACTGATAAAAAATGAAAAAAACATCAAATTGACTAACCTTTTTTTTGTTTTACTTTATCATCATTTTTCATTTTTATCTCATAATTGACTTAGTATCTCATAATTTTGACTTTTGTTATAATTTGTCATAATCTCATCATTTTTATTTACCAAAGCTTTTTTTTTTCTCCTGTGGAAATGTGCTTCACATGATTGTCTTGTGTGAATCTCGGGAAGAAATCCCCAAGTAACATTTCACTCTGAAATTAAAAAGAAAATTAAGAAACTATATTCTTCAATGACAATGAAAACCTTTTGTAATGAAATGTAATTGAATTGTGTATTTTTGCGTTGCATTGTGACATTATTTTCATGACTGATGAGCACATTTTCTTTTAATTATTGTTGTGAAATATGACCAGGATATTTCTTGACAGTTTTAATGTTAATCACCCATATATACTAAGGACCATGGAAAAGATGTCCTCATATGCGACCAGGCAATTCAAATGTCACGAGAACCTCTGCTGTTTATTCTATTATATCTATTCTACTATTGTTGGTAGCCTACTTCATACCTAATCAATCCCAATACATGCTGTGTACGCACATGATGTGCCACCAACTTTCCCTACTGATCCAAATATACCATTCACAGCCCATTTTAATTACTTGAATGTGGCCACGGTTTTCACCTTTGTGCTGCCCTGGCGGCTGCTGTTCATTTACGGCTCATGACAGGTGACAGTATAATGTACTACAATGGTTGTCCAGTACTGTTTGTGTGTTTTCAGCTGAAGTTAAACTGAGTGCCACCTTATGTAGTCAAGCACTTGTCAAGACTCAGTAATGACTGATAATGAAGTCATCTTGCAGGACTCTTTGCAGGAGTTTATTTTGATGTGCTGAATGAAATGCAAAGAAAATCCATGAATAAAGTTTATTGAACAGTCGTTAGTGTTCTGAGTGGTCAGTTTTGGAGATTCACTGAAGTAAGGATGTACGTGTGAAACTCACTAAAACTGTCATGAACAATGCCCAAATCATAATAAAATATGCAAAATAAAATTAGATTAGAGATTAGACTATTATAATATTCTCGTTACTACAAAGCACATTTGTAACATAGTACTTGTTACTAGAATCTTGGAATCTAATTTCTTGGATTCTCATGGGAAAGAGAATGAAACTTCTGTCATTAATTACTCACCCTCATGTCGTTCTAAACCCATAAGACCTCTGTGCATCTTCAGAACACAAATTCAGATATTTTTAATGAATTCTGAGAGCTCTCTGACCCTCCATAGACGGCAAGGATACTACCACGATCAATGTCCAGAAACGTAGCAAGGACATCGGTAAAATAATTAATGTGACATCAGTGGTTCAACCGTAATTTTTCAAAGTTATGAGAATATTTTTTGTGCTCAGAGAAAACAAAAATAATGACTTTATTTAACAATTTGTCTCCTCCGCGTCACCCTGGCTCCGTTTTGGAGAGTATCCACTGAACGTAAACAGCATATGCTGTTCTGTGTCAGCCGCACCACGCGGATACATTGTCTACGTTGTTTACGCTTTGATCTGAACGAAAACAATGTATCCACGTGACGCAGCTGACACAGGACGGCATACGTTGTTTACGTTCAGCTGATACTCTCCAAAATGGCGCTATAGGGTAATGCGGAGGAGACGATTTGTTGAATAAAGTCGTTATTTTTGTTTTCTTTGCGCACAAAAAGTATTCTCGTAGCTTCGTAAAATTACGGTTGAACCACTGATGTCACATGGACTATTTTAATGATGTCCTTGCTATGTTTCTGGACCTTGATCGTGTTAGGATCATTGCTGTCTATGCAGGGTCTGAGAGCTCTCGGAATTCATCAAAAATACCTTAATTTGTGTTCCAAAGAAGAACGAAGGTCTTACGGGTTTGGAACAACATGAGGGTGAGTAATTAATGACAGAATTTTTATTTTTGAGTGAACTATCCCTTGAAGGAGGATCAGGACAATAAATGGAAAAGAATATAGAAATATGGTAATTTTTAATCAGTGGTGCTGAACTGGTTTTACTTTTAGGTGATCCAAAAGAGTACCAAAATTGTTAATAGTACAAAACTAAACAAAAATCAAACATTTAAATTTATCAACATAACCGTGAACGTCATAAACCCAACAATGTGCAAAACTGAGTGTTGTTTCTGCTGTACTTTAACAGTAACAAAACACATTGTAGTTGACACAAACCATGTTTATCCTTGTTCATAGGTTTCGAGGATGAGGGGTATGTCATGCAACCTGTCCATGTCCACATCCACCTAATTTGACTAACTTGTACCAAGCGACAGATGAATCTCTGCCAAAAAACCAAAGATTACCATAAAATATTATTTGCATCGAGGATTGTATTCC